TACTACAGACTTGTAGTTTTTGCTGCTCAGTGTTTGTTTTTGGTGGCTGCTGCATGTAGGCATGGCACGTAGATGCTTGAAAGAGGGTCCTGACATAGCCAGCTTTAAACAAGTAGAAGCTAGCTGCTAACTCAGGTGTGGACCAGCCAAGTGTCACACTGTGTAGCAGAGCTCTGGTGCAGATTTCAGGCTTCTCTGAGCAGACTGGGTAAACATCACTTAGATTGTTTTCCACCTCAGCTACATTTTATCCAACTTCTATGTAATTTTAGTTTTGCTTATTTAAGAAGCTGGGAGTGGGTTGGGTTTCAGTGCTCTGTCAGAACTTGTGCATTAGTAGTTAAATAGAGACTGTAGTATTAGTTTCATCCTGAGAGATTTTATATCTGATTTACAGATCAGAGTGCTCACTGGACAAATTATTACATTGCTAATATTTGCAAAGCATAATTTAATTTTGGGTAGAAGTTGTGGTAGCTGTTTGGAGAGGAGAGGAAAGAGGTATAAAAAGAAAAGAAAATCAGGGTGGAAGGTAGTATGAGCTTCTAATATCTTAAATAATTTAAAATAGCTTGGAATGGAAATTAGCTGTTTTTACAGTAGCTCTCTAAGCAAGAGAAGAACTGAGTGAAATCCCTTCTGAAAGACATCTTTCTTCTATTGTATTTGGTGAGCAAAAGTGACTGCAGTGTACATTGTAAGAGAAGGAAATCTACAGAAATACTCAATGTAGTTATTTACAAAAAACTTCTTTGAAATGAAAACTAAACCAAAATAAACCCCTCTGTTTGGGTGAAGCTGAGCCACAGGATAATACAGGAGAGATGAAGTACTATCAAGTTTTAGATTATTGGTACATAGCTGAAAGGAACAGAAATGTCAGACTCTTCCATTTATGACATTTTTCTATTTAAAGCATAAAATGATATTGTGTATAGTTCCATCTCACTTCTGCACGTAACTGCTGCGTGGTTTATTTTCATTTAAAGCATTCATCTACAGATATATCCTCATATTTTTTGTACTAGAGGAAAAATCTAATAAGATTACATTTTGACTTTTTGATAAACTTGTTTTCTGTCTTGTTCAGTTAGTGGTGAGCTGCAAGGTCCATCTCTATTAAGATCTTTTGTTTTCAAGCTGCTTTAATGGAGCATCCCTGCAGTGTTTCTTCCCTGTGCTGATGTTTCACTTGTTGCAGATTTTAAACTAGTTAATGGTTAGCTTTGCTAGCAGTGGCTGATAAGTTGTTGATTTTGTTGTTGTTGTTAATGTGTGCTTTAAATAATGTATCCATGTTACTTTGCAAAGAGCACACTCCACGCTGGTGGTTCTGACAGGCAGACTTGTAGGAGCTGTATTAACCCTGAGCAGACTCTGCAGTTCAGCATTCATTTCATGGTGATGAGGTGAGAGATCACCATTTTGGGTGTTAAAAACAAATGGGCCACGCTGTGCTTTTGTGTTTCATGCAACCAAAGACTCACCATATCTGCAAAACTGAACTGCAGTACAGGTTTTACAGCAGACCATAATTGTCATGTGCATGTACACAGTTTTATGCTGTTAGCATAGAGCTGCTCACATCAAAGCATGAAACGAGTTATGGGTGGAAAAAAGAAACTATCTCATTTTTTATGTACTTCATTTGAAGCTTTTCCACCCATCTTATGGAGAGAACATAATGAGCTTGAGAATCAGAATCTAAAATGTTCTAACAGATCCCACTGTTAAAACTTTCCTCAATTGTTATGCAGCATTTATGATACCTATTTTTGGGAAGTGATTACTGTCTTCCCCTAATTTGCATCAATATAACTTTTTCAGTATTTTCAAACTACTTTTTTATTGGACTCTGAGTATTTCCATATGTTGGCTATAGATGGCATTTTACCAAAATTCTGGTAAATCTGTACCTAGCAAGTCTTCTATCACCTGCAGAAGTGTACTCTAGGATAAAAAAAATACTCCCCTGCCCCAGCCCACAACTACTTTTTTTTTGGACTCTAGCCAACATATGGGAACACTCATACATGGCATTTTACCAAAAAGTGGTAAATCTGTACCTAGCAGGTCTTCTATCACCTGCAGAAGTGTACTCTAGGATAAAAAAAATACTCCCCTGCCCCAGCCCACAACAAAAAGAAAACAAAAACTCTGAGATATCGATAACTTGCTAGCAATGACTCAGATGATTCACATCTTTCACAAAACCCAGATAAGGATACTTTCTGGATTTGAAAATACCAAATGAAGTAGCATATTTCAGAATTTGGCATCATGTACAGATGGAATTCCTGGGAGAAACGAACTGAAACATGAACACAAACCTTGCTAGGTGTTCTCTTGTTCAGATCTGCTCCACAAAATGAATTGTGGATTCTCTTTACAGGAATTTACATTTGGTTTCCATGTCTGGAAGATATTCTGAATGGATCATTGCTGGAGGAATAGCAGAACTGTGCTAATGCATTTGTTATGTGCTAAGAGTGTGGTTGACACTTCCTTAAAACCCTGGAGAGACATGATTCATAGAATGAAGCTTCCACGTGTCCGAGAGGTGTAGAGGGTTGTGGAAATAATGCTGATTTAGAAAATTTAGAAATGTTAGAAGAGTCAGCTGGGTATCTAAGTGCCTCTGAACATCTGATTGAGAAGGGTGATAATGAAAGTGTTGAATAATACAAATTGCTTGAAAGTATGAAAAAATAAAAGGAGAGAAGGAAGGAATTAGGCAGGGTTGGCTGGGAATGAAACTGCCAGCAAGATGCCAGATAGTCTGTGAACAAACCTGAACTGAGTTAAATTCTTCCTTCCCCCAAAGTCCTCTAGTTCTGTGGGTAGTTGTACTGATAGTGTATCATGATGCTGATGAGCTGGAAAACGTGGCAGTGACTAATGTCTCAACAGCTCTGTCCAAACATGCCTTTTATTTTATTTTTTTAGCTCAGCTTCCTAAAAAAAAATAAGTCTTATGTAATTGTGCTGTCAGAAATTCAAACCTCTTACTCATGTTGCTAGCATACACTAAATTTGAGAGGGAAGGCTGTTTCAAATGTAGTTATTTTTCTGCTAAATCTATGAAATGGCAGTTGAGTAAGAAGAGGGTGTGCACTGTGGTGCTGCCAAGGGCTAAGAGAGGCCCAGCTCATCCCCCTGAGCTTGCAGCTGCCTGGGCTTTGGTGAGTGTGCACTGCTCAGCCTGGCACTGCTGGTCCCGACACGTCCTGTCTGGTGCCCAGTGGGAGGACTGAGAAGATGTGGATGAGGTAAATTGTGTTTTATTTGGTGTGATGATGAAGTGAAACAGGGAAAGGTCCCTGGGAAACATCTTACAGATTTACTTTCTTGAAAAAGTTACCTGTTTCTGGCCTTGTTAGGTGTTTACTTCTTTGTGATGGATTTTCTGTGGCACTGTAACAGCATTCATGTTACCTTGTAGCCGTTTAACTGGCCTGTGCTGCTGCGCTTCACTGAGGGGAGTTGTTTTTTCCTGATGTCCTATTTTGTGTGGATTGAAGCAAAAGTCCAAAGGCACCCTCAGCCTTGCTCTGAAGACACAGGAAGTTTGATGAGCAGTTTAATAGCTCCTGATTTCAGTGTCACCACTCCACGTGGTAGCATTGCCTTTGCCTGCTTTCTGCTTGCTTGTGGCTTGTTCTTTTGTCCAGCTGCTGAAGTTTATAGAGCTGGAGCAGCAGGGTGAAAAAGTCACGGAACTGATCCAGCAGAAAATTAGCCCAACAATGTCTTTCCTCTCCTTTCATGGAAAAATAACCGCCAAAAGCTTTGTTTGTGATCTTGTGAGCAAGTGCATGTCTTTCTAGCTTTATTTTCTTTTTTTTCTGGTACCACACAGGCAGGAGCTATTTACTTGAAGAATTTCTGGAAAGAATCCTGCTTTGATACTTTCTTCTGGGATTATTTTTTTGCTTGCTCCAAGTATAAATGAATTTTGCTTCTGTGTTCAATGATTCTATTGTCCTCTTCAAAGGTTAATGCCACAGAGCTGTCACAGGTGGTTCTTATTTTTCTGGTCATGCTGTTATAGCAATACTGTTTCTTGAACTTGTCTTCCCATCCTTTTTTTTTGCCTGTGTATAGCTGTTCCAATATCTGTTCTATTCTCCTCCAATTATTACTGTTAACCTCTGCTCTCTTTCTTTTGTAAACTTGTAACTATTTCAACAACAAAGTGGTGTTGACATGAAAAGCTAAAATAAGTTGTGTGCAATTGTGAAGAATGTGAATTTAAGGTAGCAATGCAAGGGTTTGCTCCTGAGAAGGAAACCTCTTTAGGTGAACTGTGGGACTGTTTTTAAATACTTTTTTCTTTTTTTTCCTAATTGGAATGTCTTGGGTGCTGGGTAGGGAAAAGGGAAGAATCATACATTTTAGTAAATGAGCTGCTGCCAGCTCTGCTTAGCTCTTGAATCCACTAGGAGATGAGACCCTGTCTGCATGGAGCTACTTCAGAGGCAGGCTTCAGTGCCTGATAGCAGGGCTTCACCATCTCCCCTGCATTTTGTCTTCTCCCTAAATGGCACCTTGGAATTGAGGATCTGTGATAGTGATACTTCATTTCTGATCTGCTCCAGTTGTGCATTGTTCTTGAGAGTATGTGAAGATTGCTCAGCTCCTTACAGGATTTGGGCCATAACCAAGGCTGACACTGACTGGCATGTTGTCAAATTGTGCATGTATCATTTCTTGTTAGATAACTTTGGACACCCGTTAGAGTCTCTTGGCTAATCAGGAGTGTTGCCTCACAGATTCTTGCGCTGAGAGGGCGAAGGATCCTTGTCGTAGCTGCCAGCTTTCATCATCCGAGTGGACTGCAGAGGATGGGACTCTAGGGACAATTGAGTATAGGAAGTTTGAAGATTTGCTCTGTTCTCCTGAAGCACTGGAATGACTTTCATAGACTCAGGGCATTGTCTCCAGAAGGCTGCTTGCTGTTTTTCTTTTTCCTTCTCCTGTCAATCTATGTGTTTGTTCCAGGGCGATTTGATGAAACTGTGATTGAAGAAAGAAGGCAATGTGCTGAAGATCTGTTGCAGTTTTCTGCCAATATCCCTGCTCTGTATAACAGCAAACAGCTTGAAGAGTTTTTTAAGGTTTGTTAGTATTTGCAGAAGTATTTGCTTCTTCCTAATGGGAATAAAATATAGTGCATATTCTGCTTTGCTTTATAAACCATGGAGTGGAAGTGAGCTGATCTGACATGCTTTGTGAAGTGATGGGGAGTTTTCCATTTACTCTAGAAATGTGGCTTTAAAAAAAGTCCTGTGCCACACCTCTACAAAGTGTAAAGTTTTACAGGAACATCAGGTGAAGGGATTTGTAATTCTTGTTTACTGAATGATGAGCAAAATCCGTGATGTTAAATCCAGGTGTTCAGTGGGCAAGTGATAAAAATATTCTCACTCTTTCTGTATTTTATGTAGGTGTTTTGAGTTTCAAACTAAAGGAAGGAAGACTGTCTAGACTGTTTTCTTGTGGCCTGTTATGATTTCAGGATCATGACAACAAATTTGGCATATACCTAAACAAATGTGGTGCTTGTAGATTGTTATGAAACCCACTCTCCAGAAAGTATTATAGGACAATACATTGCTCTGGACTTGCTCTTTGTTACATCTGAAGCAATTTGTCTTCAGTAGTTCCTTCAGACTTCTTTATTTTCCATAGCTTAGTCCAGTATTCTGCAAACACATAAGCATAAATTTATGTGTATAAATGGTATTAACTCTTTGGAATTAAGAAGCTCATGTGGCTGAGATGGGATTTAAGTGTATTAATATCTTAAGTATATTTGAATGATACATGTGCAAAAGTGCAATTAGAGCAAAGCTTAAAAAGCTTTACGTGTTTTCATGATGGGAGTTATTGCAGAATTCTTTCAAATACTGAAAATAATGTTCTTTAAGCTTTGATGGCAACAATGGAGACTGAGTTAGAATATTTTATTTTTCAATTTCTTTGCATTTGTGCTTTTTCAGTTCTTTGGAAATACTTCTGTGTTTTTTTGGGTATTATTTGTTCAGAGCTGTCTTCCCCACCTTTGCTTAACAAAAGTATTAGCTTTAGCCTTCCAGTGGATCTTTTCTGGCTTTGCAAGGGAGTGGATTAAATGAGAAAGACATCAAATTTTATAGGAGCAAGTATGCCTACGAGGGGAGTTATGCAAGTGTAATAATTTAGTCTCATTTGTTAGCTGATGTGCCATGTTCTCTGGTAAGAGAGCCTTAGGTTTTGAGCGGTTGCCAGCTCAAGCCTGTGTCCTGTAGCTCTGCTCGTGGGTGGTTTTGTTCCTTTTCAGATTTTTGTGCAAAAAGTCATGGAGAGATAGACCTGGACAGTGAAATCTTGGAAAAGTTGAAGGGAGTGATGTGGGTGTCTATAGTACATAGGCTTCAGAAAAGTGTTCTGGCTAGTGTGAAATGCATGGGGCTAGTTCAGGAGAGATTGGCGAGGCCCAGTGGTAACGCTGCCTGGTAAACTGTGTCGTTTCTGTCAGCTTCCATGGGAAGTGTGCACCTGAGGTGCAAAGCTGAAATTAAAACAAAAACAATTTAGGTGATTTCTAGTGCAATTAATTGTTCTTGTTGTTTCTCCACTTACCTTTGATTACTTTCACGCTTGGGAGGGAATGATGTTCTCCTTGTATGCTTGGATGGCCTTGTCCTCCGTGCTCGTCCAGTTCTATGACTGAACTCAAGTAGTGGGTCATGGGATGGCCTTGTCCTCTGTGCTCGTCCAGTTCTGACTATGACTGAACTCAAGTAGTGGGTCATTGGTGGAACATTAGTCTAATGGACAAACACTGCTGTGTGAGGGACCTTCTGAGCTTGGCAACACTACTGGAGTGCACAGACTGCTTATACCACAAGAGAGCAGGAACTGTTGCTATTTTTTCCTTGTTATACTCTGGGGTTTGCAGGCAGACTTGCAGGTAGCGTGTGTGGTTCAGGTCTCTGAAGCTGCATAGGCTGTTTAGATACCTAGACAGTCTGTGGCAACCAAACATGACCTAACAAAAGACCCTTGTTTAATTTTGCAGGCTTATATAGTTTAATGAAATGCATTAACACTAAAGTAATGGAGCATTCAGTGGTTAGGAAATGTAATTTCGACAGTCACTTCTATATAATGAGAATTTCCACAGAGCATAGCAGCTGTATAATTCCTTTCCTTTTTTCTTTTCAGGGTGGGGAGATACATGATGGATCTGAGCTGATTGGTCCTGTTGAGTCTCTGACTGATAACCTGTCTGACTGCAGCTCTGAAGGTTTGCTTGTTTTCTTGTGTAACCTTTTGGCGTCAGCCTTTTTAAAGCAGCATGTAAATGACAACTGCTGTATTGGTAGGAGCATTGGCATCCAGTTTCTCTTTGCTTGGAATGACATAAATGCTGGAGCTGAGATTAACAGAAGAAATGTTGGGCTCAGCAGAGCTCTGTCTGGACTGGTGGGAGTTTGCTTCTAACAGGAAGTTTTCTAGTAGATTTTAGTCCGTTCTTGAAGTCCTAGTACTCTATTGCTCAAAAAGAAATAGAGCATGAAACGTAGGTCTAAGATTTGAACTGCCTCGTTCATTTCAGAGAGTTCTCATTCAGCTGTTCGTGCTCTGGGTGTCAACATGCTTTCAGTGCTTACTTAAATCCAGAAGAAAGTTTGTACTGTATTTTAAAAGTTTATGATTGAGTGTATGGGAGTGACTATTAGAGTGTACTGCAGGGCTTGGGGACATGAGCAAGTTGCTTAAGTCTCCTAAGAAAAAAATGCTGGCAATTTTTGTTTGCTGGAAATAACACCCTGTTCTTTAAAGCCTGAGAGGTTGTGTGTTAGAGACAGCGTAAGCTATCTCCAGCTGAAAACCAGAAATCCCTTCCTTAGCTTGCTGATGTTTTGTAGTTGTGCTGTGCCAGTTGTGGGCCTGTCCCCTGTCCTGTGGCTGCCTTTCTGTAGCACAGTGTAAAGATGCACATGCTGGCTGGGATACCACTTGTAGAGTAATTTTAGTGGCACCTCACTTCTACTAAATAGTATAGCTGTGAGGTAAGACCAGTCAGCCCAAATAAATGCTGTGCTAGGGCTTCTTCCCTGCCTCTGGAGGCTGAGCAGGCTTAAGCACCTCTGTGTACAATCACCTGCTCAATACATACCTGCTGGAGGGTCGGGAGGCTCTGCAGAGGGACCTGGGCAGGCTGAGTCGATGGACCAAGGTCAGCTGTGGGAGGTGTCACCAGGCCAGGTACCAGGTCCTGCACTTGGGGCACAACAACCCCAGGCAGGGCTGCAGGCTGGTGTAAGAGTTGCTGGAAAGCTGCCTGGTGGAAAAGGCCCTGGGGGTGCTGCTGGACAGCTGGCGGGACATGAGCCAGCAGTGTGCCCAGGTGGCCAAGAAGGCCAATGGCCTCCTGGCCTGGATCAGAAATGGTGTGGCCAGCAGGAGCAGGGAGGTGATCCTGACCCTGGTCTCAGCACTGGTGAGGCCACAGCTTGAGCACTGGCTTTCACTAGTGTTGGGTTGACGGTTGGACTTGATGATCTTGGAGTTCTCTTCCAACCTTAATGATTCTATGATTTCATCTGCCAAGTTCCATGCAATCTTTTAGATACTTGTGTTTCTGAGTTATGCTTGGGTCTTTGTGACTTATAAGAAATTATTTTCCAGTCTTTAAAATTCTCCTTTGGAATTGTGTTCTGTTTGTGTATAAATACACATTATTATACAAACACTTACTAAGCTTATTTTGATTTTTTTTTTTCCTTAACTACTTAATTTCCTCTGGTCTTTCTGGCATAGAACTTGCTTTGCTAAAAATCTGCTTGAATAAGAAGAACTGCTTGTGTTTTCTAGTAGTGGTTGGTTTGTTAGTTTATATATTGTTTGCTTGAGGTTGTATGACTTGCTGCTGGGAACTCTCTTTGTCAATAACTTGGGGCTTAGTGGTATAGTACATTCTACATGGGCAGTGAGTTCTGCATTTTATTCTATAATGTTAATAAACTAATGCCCCAAGGATATATTTAATTTTGTGAAGGGAAAGTTATGGAGCAGTTTAGTTACAGAGAGTAGTTATGACAAATACTGGTAACTAGTTTTAAAGGGCATTATTTATGTGAAATTTAATAGTCCAGATTCTGACAGTGCATTCATTTTTTCTTTTATAAAGCACAGTGTAAAGTACTTCTAAAATGCTTAATGTGAATATTTCTATTCTTTATTCACAAGAGCCCCATTTTTAGAAGAAGAAAAACACTTCCTTTATGTGAGATGAAATATTGAAAGGAAAAGAAGTGCTGTCAAGTAGAAAAAATTCTTTGATAGCCTTCTAAATCAGCTGGAGTGCTTTTAGGGGATGCTTGTAACAGCTCTGAGCACAGGATTTGCAGATGCCAAGTGTGACTTTTGTGGAGTTAAGTTTTCTAAAAACATGTGGCTACCAGCTCATATTTTTTTTTTTTTTTTAACGTTTGAAACCAAATTTTGGATGGGGGAAGACCAGGAACAGAAAGAAACATCTGTCTGTAAGGCCTCTAGATGGCAGTGGCAATACTTATTTGTGAGTCCTCTCCCTGCCTCTCCTTGGGGCATATGATTTCTCCCAGCCTGATGACTGTCGTTGTGTGCCTGGTTCCCTGTGTAGGTTTTTGTGAGTGTTTGAGGGCTTCACACGGGCACTGCTCCTTCCAGCTCTTGCACTGGCAAGTATCAAACGCATTCCTTAACAGGTGCTGCTGTTTGCTTATAAGGGTGGGTTGTGTTTTCTCACTTATCTGTTCTTTTCAGACAAAGTTCATTTTGCAGAAGGTGCAAACATCAGTGGTAGGAGATTCAAACTGTGGATTCAGACAGTAGAAACACTTTTGTGCCAAAATGAAATAAGCAATAAGTATCTCGCTTGTAAAAGCGGTTTGGCAGTTTGATTTCTCAGGAACCTGCTTTTCCAGAGCCCAGGTTACCCAGGCCTTCCACCAGCTTTTGGAGACTGCATCTGCTGCTTCTCATATACCTAGTGAAATTGTACAAAGCTGAGACAAGTTCAGAATTTATGTTCAATTCCAGCATTGATATAATCATCTAACATTCCTGACACACAGTCACTCTGTCTTCCTCTCTAGCTACTGGGAAGCTCATATGTTTTTTTTTCCCCTTCCCTATTCCCCCCATGCCCCTTCTGTTTTTCCATATTCACATTATCTTCCCAAAAGTAAGCATATGCAGTTCAGACTCTTTGACCCCTTGGGCTAACTGGAAGCCCCATGATTGGTTTGTGGTGCCAGACTCAGCTCTGAACCTGACCTTAAAGTTTATTAGCTCAGGCCCTGTGCCATGCTAGCTCTGTTCGTAGAGCTTCTGGTCAAGTTGTCTGCAAGAAAAGAGCAAATGGGTTTTATTTGTACTGGAGGGAGGGGAACTTTTGTTTTGTGTGGATGCACTATAATTTGTCTGTTCTGGGTGGCCAGCACACCCTTGTCACCCACTCCAGCTTTTCCATTCATTCTGTCTGCATGCTTTATCAGTCAGCTCTGCTTCCACCTATACATTCCCTGGCTAGCAATTGCTCTTCACTGAAAAAAAGAACTTGATTCCTCTAAATGTTATTTCATAAACTCTCAGTCTTCTGCACCTAAATTTGATATTGCTATCCTTAAATTGGGCAGGTGAATGGCCTGTTATTGATAAGCTAATTAATGAGTCTTCTGTCTCCCTCCAGCTGTTCTGTTGTGAGGTTCCCTGCCTTCTTGCAGGACTTGGGGCTACACAGGCAGTTTACTTCTCTGCATGGGCACTTTGCTTTATGTCTGAAAAGGTCAGAAGCATTGTCTCCTGTGCATCCTGTCCTCTCAAGTAATCTTGTGTCACTGAGTACCAATGTCCCTTGCTTTTCAGACAAAGACTGGATGGTGATCTGTTCTCCTCCATGTCTTTTTCCTCTCACTCACATTAAAGGAAGTGCTGGCTTTTAGAAAACCCATATTTTGAAAAGCAAACCAAACAGTGCTGCCTTACTCCTCTTCCAGAAATTGTAAATTCCCTCTAACTCTATGGTTGCAAAATCAAAAAAAGTTCAAATTAGTCACATTTGAGTGAGCTCCTTGCTACTGCCTCATACTTTTTGAAGATAAGTCAGAAGACTTTGCCTGATAATGTGGATAAACTCTTGACTTTGTCAATAATACAGAAGAAAACAGACACTGGGGCTTAGCTCAGAATTTATTTTCTCTGTGTGAACAAACAGCTAAATGTCTTGACCTTGTTGCCTGTTTTATTGCCTCAGTGGGTACATGTGCCAAGGTGATAAAACAAACTGCTACTTGATATCCAGGTAGCACTGCCAAATTCGTGGCTTGCTCCATATGTCTCGTGCAGGGTACTACTCTGGAATGACAGCTTTGAGACTGAAAGCTGGCTTTACATTTTTTGTTTCTTGGTATGTAGGTCCCAGCTTTGAAAGTGCTTCTGTTCTAAGTCTCCTTAGCTGTAAATCATCAGAGGGGTAAGAGATAGGGATTAAAGTCCTGGAGTATTAAAATGAGGTGAGTTGGAGTGCTGAGGTTTGAATTAGCACCCACCAACACCCCCTAAGCAAGCACATGGGGTTTGTGTTTTAACTTTGGAGACAATGAGAAATCACAAATCTAATGCCATGGTCATGATTTTAATGTTATGTTACCAAGTAGATATCTGATAGACAAAGAGCAGTTTCATATTATGTATTTTTACCTGTAGTAGAGTCGTGCCCTTTGATTTTGATGGCACGTGAACATCCAGTCTGGTGTACAAAAGGATTCTGGAAACATTTTTGTTGTTCTTGTCCTTTTCAGTTCGAAAGGATTTAAGTGGGCTGGATGATGTGACACTTACGAGCCAGTCAGAATATGGAGGTGAGATCTACAAATTGTTTCCATTACATTTGTGGAATTTAGATTATTAGAAAGTCCTAGTTATGAGTGACTGCTTTTTGTGGATGATAATCCTCACAGAATGAGATGATGAATGTGTAAAATAGCTTTGTTGCCATTTATTTCCAAATAAACCTGCTAAATTGCTGTGGTTTAATTACCAAAGGTCAGCTTGCAGTAAGTATATATACTTTAACTTATGGCAAATGCAAAATAAAATGTTAGTTCAAATTCCAGTGTAAGATGTGTAAGCTAATTCATTTTAACATGTGTTAGCAATAAGAGAAGGCTGTAGATGGTAGATGTGAGTTAGTGCTGCATGATGCGTAAGCTGACAGCAACTGGTAATTCAAATTCCTAATTTACTGGTTTTGGGATGCTTCATCTTACTGATTTCAAACAGTATGTTGGGATTTCTTGCAACAACAATTTGGTTCCTGCTACACTCACACAGAAAGGGTTGGTTTTGTAATTTACTGGAGCCCAACAGTGAGCAGGCTTTGAAAGTTTAAGTTGGGTGTTAGATGTTGATTCATTCAATCCCAGTACTAAAATTAGGACCAGTTGCCCTGTGGAGTTTGTATCTAAATTAAAAAACAAACAAAAAGAAAACAGAAAAAAATGTTTTTAGAGGTACTAAAAGAGAATTTTTAAGACAGCTTTACATGCAGGGAATTTCTGTGCATGAAGTCTCAGGAGGCTGCATAAATTAGAAGAAAATTAAAGTCTTTGGATGGGGTAAAGAATTTTGGAGGTTCCTAAGGTATATGAGAAATCTAGAGTAATAGATGTCTTTCTGACTGTGCTTTCAGGCTTCTCCAGTGACAGCGACCTGATCTCTCTGACAGCTGATGTAGATTCTATTGCTGAATTGGATGATGGAATGGCATCCAACCAGAGTTCTCCCAGCAGAGCTCCTGGCCTTTGCTTTACTTCTGAAGCCCCAGTCCAAAGCACACTGACACCTGAGCAGGAGTGGATCAAACCCGAAGGAGAGAGGGGGAGCCATACTTCGTTTACTGGAAGCCTAAAACCCAAGCCTGGCAAAAAAGATTACTTGGAGATAGCAGGTGAATTGATAAAGCTGGCCTTGAAGAAGGAGGAGGAGGAAGATTATGAAACTGCCTTTAGTTTTTATAGGAAAGGGGTTGATCTGCTTCTGGAAGGTGTTCAAGGTATGGATCTTCCCATTATGTTTCCCTTGCCTTTGTTTGTGTGTGCTGGTTTATGGCCTTGCCTCAGTTAACATCACCTTACTGCTCTGCAAGGAGGTGATATGAAATGCAGGCTGAGGTCTGCCTGGCTTTCACGTGCTTGACAGCTGCCATGCATATGAGAGAGGGAGAAATCTGTCTCTAAGGCTGAATAATAATTTAGGGTCTCATCTTCCAAGTGCCAAATATCTCCTTTTGAAATTGTGGCATGACCTTTGTCTTGCAGGTAAGGAGGAAAGTGCTGCACTCTTGCTTCTTTCCTTTTTATTACCTAGACATTAATTAATACGTGCCACTTGCAGCACTGTTGAAACATTATTTAATTTACATGGCTAAGTGAGGATTAATTATCCCCGTTTTACGCATGGGAAGAGGTAGACCAGGTTAACTTCCTAATCACAACAGGATTAGAACTATTCTTGGCTCACAGCCTCTTGCTCCTTCCACTAAACTGTTCTCCTTTTCTAGCTAAGGGGTGCACACAGACTTACGTGCCTGCCATGCTGGAGGAGAACAGGACTTTTTTTCCCACCAGAGTTTTGTGTGTCAATATGTCTGCAAAGCTTGTGTTAACTGACCATATGCTACCACAAGCAAATTTCTGTGGAATCTCCTTGCACCTTGTCAGTCAGGGAGTAATTTTTTCCCCCTTCTATCTCTAGTTCTTGAGACTCTACAGTGATCACCTCATACATTTGCATTTTGTCCAACAATGGCTTAAAACTATAAAGCACAGGAAAAGGTTTGTTCTTTCCTGGAGTGAATTCAGGGTCTATGTATTGTGCTGCTGTCCCACACAGAGCAAATGAGTAAGATTAGAATTGTGGCTTTGTTTGATGGTATACAGCACAGATGAATGATGCTGTTCCAGATCTGAACTTAAATGCTAATGTACCGAAGCTCACACGAGCAGAAGCCTTTGCTGCACCTTGGTGTGATGTGCAGCAGTGCTCCATGCCCTCTGGAGAGTTCTAGGAATGGAAGTTACCTGCTGAGCTTCTTTAACAGGGCCTGGCAAAAAATAATGGGTAGCTTACTGGTGTAAACTAAAGTGTGGGCCAAGATATGTGCAGAGTCTTTTCTTAAAATCTCTTACACTTTTTGGCAAAAGTAAATCTACCTCTTTCTTTTCAAGTTCTAGTGATGACATTACTGCTTTGCTGCTTTTTGTGGCTTTTCAATACCATCCTATCTTTCCTTGCTCACATCCCTGGTTATGTATTTTGCATGAATAATAACATGCTCCTTTGAAAGGTAAGGATGGCACAACTGTTTCAAAATGCCTCTGGTCTTCTGTCATTGATTATTTTCAACCTATTTTGTCTAAATAAGCCTTTGTAGTATGTGAAAGTGAAAGACAGTGTACATCTCTACTTGCACACATATGAAGTGCCATTGCCTTTCAGGTACAGCCCTTGCAGAATGTGTGGCCTGCAGACTGGCCTGGGAATGGCTTTTCCGTGTGAAATGGTAATACACGGTTTTGCCACGTGGTGGCACCCAGAAAATAGAAATTGACACAAAATTGGAATCGAGAAACATAAGGGGGAGGGGAAGAAACGTCACCCATCCTCTGTTTGAAACTTCTCACAGAATTACCTCAGGACTTGGTTAGATGTATGTGAATGATAGGGGTGTCTCTGTTGCCAGCTGCTCCTTTAGACTTGGTACAAGATCTTACTTCTTAAGGTTGCCTCATCAATGTCATGTGCACATAAGCTTATTACTGCAAGTTTATAGACTTGAGTTGTTTGGTTTGAAGTGACTGCCTTCCATAAAGGAGTGGAGCACACTTCCATCTGTTGGGTTCCTGATGACTTTGCAGCTAGCTGAGCTGGTGGCACTGATGGTGGGCACGGCGGGTGCCGTACGCTGGCACCAGAGACATGTCTGCCTTGGCTTCATCTGCAGCTACCTGTGCGTGCTCTGAGATTTACAGCAGTGTTAATTACACTGTGCAAGGTGCTTATCTATTCTCTTCTGCCAGTCTCTTGCATAGTTTTAGTACTAAATCTTCTAAAGTCCCATTCAGAGTCCTGCTAAAAGGCCTAACAGGCGTGTCACTTGGGAATGAATGCTGTCTGTGCTCTGAGAGGCTGATGGGCACCTTCAGTTCTGGGCATCTGCTCTTTATATGTTTTGGGCCTATTTCTGCTCTGTACATGCATTTAATATTAAACATGTTTGTCAGTGGGAAAGAGAATGACTTCTTGGAGTGACAGTAGAGCCCTTGGGCTGTCACTGGACTACCAGTGTCTCTTTTACCTCCCTGTTCCGTTTATACCAGAGCTCCCATGTGTGCAAAGAGAGGCAATAGCTGTCATCATTTCCTTTTTCCTCTGAAGACATACTGATTCTCCTGCCCCTCTTGTGTTTTCTGGGCATTGGTATGTGAAGGATTTTGGAGCTTTTGGAAGGCAGGTCTGTAAGGGTTGTGTAGGATGGCTAAACAATTCTCCAGGACCTTCTGGAATTCAAATCTTCCATCTTTCTAAGCATACTAAGTATACTAACTGATAGAAACTTTGGCTCCCAGTTGTAGCTGTTCCTTTGTTTCGTTAACATGCCAGAACACTTTTGAGGTCAATGCATTGCTTCAGGCCTGGTAATGGAAAAAAAAATGCACTAATCGATAGCAAGCCACCAGCTTCTAGGCTGGAAGTTGACTGTTTTATGCAAAGTAGTGCTTTGCCTGACTTTGGTGGAGAGCATAGTTTATGTTAGGGGAAAAATAGATAAAGAGGCTGAAATTATGGAAAGACTTTTTTGTGATAAAGCACAAGTCCTGTTTGTATAAACTACTCCACTTTTTTGCAGTTCCAGCTGTCCTCAAGTGCTGTCCATTATGGATCTGGGCAGTCAGAGCTCTGTCATAAACACAGAGTTAGCACTATTACTTATGGCTGGTTTTCAGTAACTTCAGGCAAATGATGAAGTATGAAGGCTTCACAATATGGTTACTTAAATTTGTCAAGAAAAGTACAGGATCTGTTCCATTGGTTTAGAAAGCACATGTGTTCATTGCTGGTCTGTTACATACAAGGCTCCATGTTACACATGAACATCTGAAAGGAGATGATTCATTTACTTTCAGAGATTCTTGAGGTGTTTGTTTTCACATGTGTAGCAGCTGTGGCTGGGCACAATGAATATTTATTTGGTTTAGGGGGCTGGTTTGGCTAGGCACCGTGGACCTTGTTGCATGAAGTTCATCCCTTTCAAGTCACAGCAGCCACAAGCTGTTTTCCAGGTATCTGTGTTTTGTGTTAGGTGTCTACAACTCCTAGACAAGCTGCTGGTGTCTTTGAAAGCAGGCTGCAAATGTCAATTTTGCACTGCTCAATGCTATTTTAATGTTTATCCAGTAAACAGAACTGGAACAAAAATTACACAAACTACTGGAACCTTGCTAAAATGACTTTGACTTTTAACCCAGAAATGCGTATACAATGAATACTTTGGACAACTAGATGATATTTTTGGATATACTGAAAACAAACCAACTTGTGTTTAATTACTGGGATTATGATGGGCTATGATTTGAACTTGTGATGGAGCCAGGGATGCAAACAGGAGCATGCTTGACAGAGTGCCAAGAAGACAGTACTTTATGGAAAAGGGAACAGCTATGGCTGTTCAGTGGGCGAGTTTCTGGCTTCCAGAGGGAAGAGCACCTTTGCCTGTTTGTTGAGTGGCATGTAGGAAGACAACTTCTGTTATAACACAGTAGCTGTTTTAAATTCCTTTCACTTGTTAAGTCCTCTGAGTAGTGTTTCTCATTGAGAGTAACAATCTCCAGGCAGTTTCTCAGCTACCCACTTCTTTGAGGAAACAAGAGACCTGTTTTCTGAGAAGATACAGTGGGGTGTGAGCGAGTTAGTTGGCAGGGGGAACACTCAGAGTTGTGCTGGGCCCCACTCAAAGCGGTCAATGACAGGGTGACTGACAGAACTATAATTCTCCCCCACCTAGCTCAGACCTCTGTACCTGTGGTGTGTTATCACTCACCTCACTGTTGTAGCTTTATGCTTTTGCTGAGGCTGGAAGCAGTCAAGACAAAAGCTTCTTGGCCCAATTTCTTCCAAAGAAGCTAAAAACCATCCCTGTTTCATGCTATTGGACTGTGAGGATGCTGTAGGATTGTTTGGGTTGGGCTTTCTTAAGCAACCATACAAAGTGCTCCCTCTCCTAGTGCTTTGTACAACCTTGAAATCACAACTGCTGTTTCAGAAAGTTAAATGTTTGGGAGAATGTGTCTGTCAACAAGCAGCTTAATTAAGAATAGATCTTGGAAATGCTGTGTTTTGCTTAAAAAAAAGTAATCTAATCTCCCTGTGCTGCCAGTGATGCTGAAAACCATGCTGATATGGGCTATGAGCTGTTCATAACTGAAATGTGTTGCCTTTCAAGCCTGTTGCAGACCATAGAGAGTGTAAGAGCAGACGAGTGCTGTAGGAATCCATCACTGTGGATAGCTGTTGGATAGATCACCCTGAGTGATGTCACTCCATATGGAAAAGTATGTCCTGGGTTTAGACACTTCATTGTGGCAAAGCAGTCAAGTACAGCATCAGCATCTGCTGATGCTTCAGTGGTGGTTTCACTGTGGTGAAGCTGGTGAATGTACAGCTACAACCAGGTTCAGCTGTGTGGAGGAATACACGAGGCAAAGCTCCACTGAAGCTGCAGGACCTCTGTGCCAAGGGGCTGATAAACATCTGGAGCTCAGTACCTGCTGCACAGCCTGGAGCTTTACCATACATGTAGAGGTGAAGTGTTGCAGTACCTGTGAGTCAGCATGTAGGGTGTGATGCAGAGGTGACTCTGAACACGATTGCTTAGCATGTGGCTGTTGAAGATGGATAAATATGTCATGAGGTGGGCCTTAAAAATCTGTTCTTCCCTCCTCTGGGGGCACAAAGCTAGCTGCACTAGCTTGGTGTTGATCTGACCTTCCTAAG